CAAGTTAGAGTATGTAGGAAAGAGGGAGATTATTTCCCAGTAAAAGTAGGCCTTAGACAAGGATGTGTGATGTCACCGTGGTTGTTTAATATATTTATAGATGGAGTTGTAAGAGAAGTAAATGCGAGGGTCTTGGCAAGAGGTGTGGAGTTAAAAGATAAAGAATCACACAAAGTGGGAGTTGTCACAGTTGCTCTTTGCTGATGACACTGTGCTCTTGGGAGATTCTGAAGAGAAGTCGCAGAGGTTGGTGGATGAATTTGGTAGGGTATGCAAAAGAAGAAAATTAAAAGTGAATACAGGAAAGAGTAAGGTTATGAGGATGAAAAGATTAGGTGATGAAAGATTGGATATCAGATTGGAGGGAGAGAGTATGGAGGAGGTGAATGTCTTCAGATATTTGGGAGTGGAAGTGTCAGCAGATGGATCTATGAAAGATGAGGTGAATCATAGAATTGATGAGGGGAAAAGGGTGAGCGGTGCACTTAGGAGTCTGTGGAGACAAAGAACTTTGTCCTTGGAGGCAAAGAGGGGAATGTATGAGAGTATAGTTTTACCAACGCTCTTATATGGGTGTGAAGCATAGGTGATGAATGTTGCAGCGAGGAGAAGGCTGGAGGCATTGGAGACGTCATGTCTGAGGGCAATGTGTGGTGTGAATGTAATGCAGAGAATTCGTAGTTTAGAAGTTAGGAGAAGGTGCGGGATTACCAAAACTGTTGTCCAGAGGGCTGAGGAAGGGTTGTTGAGGTGGTTCAGACATGTAGAGAGAATGGAGCGAAACAGAATGACTTCAAGAGTGTATCAGTCTGTAGTGGAAGGAAGGCGGGGTAGGGGTCGGCCTAGGAAAGGTTGGAGGGAGGGGGTAAAGGAGGTTTAGTGTGCGAGGAGCTTGGACTTCCAGCAGGCATGCGTGAGCATGTTTGATAGGAGTGAATGGAGACAAATGGTTTTTAATACTTGACGTGCTGTTGGAGTGTGAGCAAAGTAACATTTATGAAGGGATTCAGGGAAACCGGCAGGCCGGACTTGAGTCTTGGAGATGGGAAGTACAGTGCCTGCACTCTGAAGGAGGGGTGTTAATGTTGCAGTTTAAAAACTGTAGTGTAAAGCACCCTTCTGGCAAGACAGTGATGGAGTGAATGATGGTGAAAGTTTTTCTTTTTTCGGGCCACCCTGCCTTGGTGGGAATCGGCCAGTGTGTTAATAATAAAAAAATAATGCTATATGGATGAGCTTGGAGGCAGCAAAGATGTCATGTTTGAGAGAAGTGTGTAGTGTGAATATTATGTATAGAATGAGGTACAGTACCTCATTTAAGCCACCCTTAAATCTGATACCTGAGCTGTTCATTATGTAATGCAGTTGAGTGTTTCTGCTACTTTCCACAATGCTTATATTATTTGGAGTATTCAAGCTTAGGAAGTTTATTAGTTGTCTTCAGTTATGTATATAATAGTATCCTAGACAGGATTAAAATATTCATCTGTTGAGTCTGCAGTTATTTACTACAAGTAGTCATATCCTAGTCAGGATTAGAAGGTTTATCTGGTGGGTATACAGGTACTACATGTAGTTGGATTTTAATAAGGATTAGAAGGTTTATATGTTAAGTCTGCAGATAAGAATGTAGCAGCCTCATAGTCAGGATCTGAAGGTTATTCTTGTTGCTCTAGGCAGCCACACTGGTGATCAAAGGGATGACTGCTGCATTCTTGTTGCTTAAGAAACTTTTCATAAAACAAACGGACAAACAAACTTTATTTCGATAAAGTGGAGTACAGTACATTATACAGTTAGGGTAATTGACATATAAACTACTTTATAGAAAGCCTTTTATTATGCAAGGCATTTTGGGTAACCTTAAGACTAAATTATGATTACTAGTATATGAGAATAAGAATACTTAAGTTTATATTACATTAAAGGTATTCAGTAATTCAATAAAAATTCTGATTAGTGATACATTAAGGATGAAGCTGGGTACATGAATTAAAGGAATGATGGAACAAGAACAGGGATAATATTGGGTGAAGGATAAGGTGTTAAGGTTTCAGGAATTGTTCATCATAATAAATTGTTGTCAGGATCACATTAAGGTAAGGAAGTGTTTTTAACAGTAGCTTTGAAGTGGCTGGCAAAGAGGGAGACTGGAATCTTCAGGTAGAAAGTCCTTTAATACACATTGAGTTTTTACAAAGGTTGAGCTGGACACAGGGACTATCATAGAGATTTTTGGGTCTAGTATTATACCTATGAGTTCTGTTGTAACTATCATGAAAGATTTTCAGGGCAGGATTGATATTAGCATTAATTGACCTGTATGCACAGTAGTATGAGTGAATTTTATATATATTAAGTAGGTTTAGACTTTTGAAGAGTGAGAGTGTGTGTTGTTTGGTTCTAGACTTGATCATTCATACAGCTGCTTTTTGTTATTATTGGCTTAAGATGATGTGTTGTAATGGATCCTCAGACACAAATAATGTAGGTGAGATAGTTTAGATTAGAGAGTAGCATAATGTATGTAGTACTGTTTGAGGTACATACATAGTAACATACCTTGGAGAGGATGCTAGCTGGTTTTGATACTTTTTTTGTAATGTGTTGAATTTCAAGTTGCTGTCAATGAACAGACCTAAGAATTTCCCTTCGTTTTGTTTAGCAGTGAGAGAACTGTTAATTACAATGTTTAGTTGGACATTTGTAGCTCTGTTCCCAAACATCGTGTAGAAGGTCTTGTCATTGATAAATGTGATTGTAGTGGTAGTCATCCAGGTTAATATCTTTAAGAGCTCTTCATTAACAGTGTTGTTGAGAGAATTTGGATTTGGGTGGGAGATGACAAAAGTTGTATCATCTGTAAACAGAACTGGTCTAAGTTACTGAGATTCATTTGGAAGATCATTGATGTATATGAGAAAAAGCACAGGGCTGAGGACACTACCCAACAGGACACCTATGTCAATAGGTCATGTTGAGATTTTTTTTTATTTTATTATTAACACATCGGCCATTTCCCACCAAGGCAGGGTGGCCTGAATAAGAAAAACTTTCATCATCATTCACTCCATCACTGTCTTGCCAGAGGCATGCTTTCACTACAGTTATAAAACTGCAACATTAACACCCCTCCTTCAGAGTGCCGGCACTGTACCTCCCATCTCCAGGAATTAAATCCGGCCTGCCGGTTTCCCTGAATCTCTTTATAAGTGTTACTTTGCTTACACCCGAACAGCACGTCAAGTCCTAAAACCATTTGTCTTCATTTGCTCCTATTTAACATGCTCACACACACTTGCTGGAAGTCCAAGCCCCTCCCTCCAACCTTTCCTAGGTTGACCCCTACCCCGCCTTCCCTCCACTACAGATTTATACTCACTTGAAGTCATTCTATTTCATTCCATCCTCTCTAAGTGTCCAAACCATCTCAATAACCCCTTTGGATAATAGTTTTGGCAATCCTGCACCTCCTCCTAATCTCCAAACTATGGATTCTCTGCATTGTATTCACACCACACATTACCCCCAGACATGACATCTCCACTGTCTCCAGCCTTCTCCTTGTTAACATTCACCACACATGCCTCACACCCATACAAGAGCATTGGTATAACTATACTCTCATGCATTCCCCTCTTTGCTTTCATGGATAAAGTTCTTTGTCTCCACAGACTCCTCAGTGCTCCACTCACCTTTGTTTCCTTATCAATTCTATGATTCACCTCATCTTTCATAGACCCATCTGCTGACACGTCCACTCCCAAATATCTGAATATATTCACCTCCTCCATACTATCTCCCTCTAATCTGATATCCAATCTTCCATTACCTAATTTTTTTGTTATCCTCATCACCTTACTCTTTCCTGTATTCACTTTTAATTTCCTTCTTTTACATACCCTACCAAACTCATCAACCAACCTTTCATTATTTTCAAGAGCTGCATAAAGGAAGTCTAGCATTTTTATAACTGCATCATTTGTGCTTTTATTTGGTCTGAAACTAAACTGGGAGGTGTTGAGTATATTGAGTGATGCTAGAAAAGAGTATAATCTCTTTAAGATTAATTTTTCAAAAAATTTGGATAACAATGGTAAGTTAGGTATTGGTTTATAGTTATTTATGTCTGTTGGGTCTCCACCTTTATCTACTGGGGTAATAACCCTTGCTATCTTTAGTATTATTGGAAAAGTGTTGAACAGTACTGTAATGGTAAGCAAAAGCACATGAGCTACTTTTTTGAACAATGGTAGAGGTACTTGTGCTGTTTCCTGACTTGTTTTTCAGTGAATTTATTATCAAAGTTACCTCAGTAGGATTAGTTGGAGCGAGATAGAGGGAGTTTGGGAAACAAGGTAGTCACTTGCTCAGGCATTGGTACTTGGGATTTTGCTAGCTAGCCTTGATTATATTGTAGAGAAGAAACCGTTTTACTTATTGGCTGTTTCTACAGGCTGAGATGTGGTTCATTGGGTTTGGTTATGACAATATCTCTGGTTTTGGTCAATTACTTAGAACCCAGGGCAATATACAGGGCCAGATTTAAACATGGCAATGCCCTAAGCCATGGGAAGGTGTAGAATCCCTATTTGGCAAGTGTTAACAGAGAATAAAGCTGAACTTGCCAAGAATACTGCCAAGAAGCATAACAAACCCATGCTTGGGTGGGAGGGTTTCTCCATTAGAACTTTAAGATTATGACTTTAATTATTCAATTTAAAGAAATATATTAATAGGATTGTAATTAATTTCTAAGAGTAAAATACTGTTGTAAAATTGTAATTACCAGAAAATTAATTGTAATTTGTAAACTGGAACATGATTAATGCAAGAAAAGTCATGAATGATTTCCTCAAAAGATAAGATGACTTGTTATAATGTTTTTATAAAATTTAATAAACAATTTAAGTGTTGCTAATTAATGTAAGAAGTGTATCAGGTATGGGTTTACATCTGGATTTAGGCACAAGCAAATGAAAAATAAATTTTTGAAAATCTGAGAGGCCCCTTCAGACCATGAAGCCATAAGTTGTAGCTTGTTTAGCTTATGCTTAAATCCTGCCCTGCCAATGTAGCATTAATAGGATTATTCCACATGCCTGTGAAATATATTTTGTAGCATTAAATTATGGAAAAAAACGCCAATATTAAAATAAAGAGTGTACAGTAATCAGAAGTCACATGATAAAGTTGAAGCTGTGTAGAGTTCTACCCATAAGTCTGATGGTTTATTTCCTCTCAAGGGAGGCACCTTGATGCCAGTGAGGGGCTGTTGATCCAAGGAAGTGGACCTGTTCTCCCCTTGAATTGAACCTGATTGCCTCCCATTCCCTATGTGCTGTCTGACACTTATGGCTTTAGTTAGTGCTTCCCAAAGAATAATAATAATAATTGTTTATTAATTACACAGTAAAAAAAGTAATGGAGTTCCTAATTCAGTACTGTATCTTTCTAATTCTAAAAGAAAACCATATTTTATTCTTCTCTATCTTCTACTTTTCATGTTTTCGCTTTCTCTTGTTGACGGTGATGCTGTCTGATGGTAGACTGAGACCCCAACTCACTTTCTGGTCTCCAGATGTTCTGCTAGACTCACTTTGAGCTTCCTGACCTTCCCATAGGCTCACCTTTGCCTTGGTGTTGCCTACGCGTAGTTTCTGCAGAGAGGGAGAACGAGTGAAATTTTAGTGTTGAAGTTGTGATGTGAGTTTGATTATTTATAAATGTCTGTGCTACGAATTCTCAGAGGGATGCATGATTCATGATTGAACATATATCTGGATAAATTTGCTTTGAAAAAGAAAAATTGTAAAATATTCAAAATCTTTTGATTGTGTATTGACAAAATACTGAAGCATATACTGTATTCCAACTTTTATTTTTTCATTTGCCATTTTCTTTTTATCAAATATTGTACATCTTGTTAGTTGCATATTAAATCACCCACTCGCCCAGCTGAACCTGGCAATTGGTGTATACAAGGACACCTGATTTGGTGAATTCAAGCTGAAGTTTGCCCCTCTCTTTCCTGGAATCAAACCTGACTCCTACTACAAGTTCCCCTTCTTCTCCATCACATTTATCCAGAATAACTAAAAGTGTGTTGGCTTTTAACATGGAGCTAATTTTGGAATATAAGTTGTGGAATGCTCCTCAAATATCCCACCAGGAAAATCTACTTGTTGTTTTTGACCTAGAATGAGTTTTGGAGCATGAATCATGGAATTCATCTTTTGGGATTTACTCCACACCCTCCTAGGAAAATTTATTTATAGTTTTGGACCCATAATAAATTTTTTAATGTTTTGTGGAGAGATTTACGAACTTTCCCCAACTTGCCTCTCCCTGGAAACTTAAATTTTGGCTTCTGACCTAGAATGAATTTTGTCAGACTGATGTTTTAAGACCATTGTTTTGTGTATAATCATTGCTATTTGCAAGACCATTTTACTCTACTATCTTTGTTTTTAGTGTGATGGATGCTTTGTTTTATAACAGATGTTCTTTGTATGATCTGTTTCTTTATACGATGCATTTCCTTCTAATATTTACTCTACTTGAAGAATACAGAGGCACAATACTGTGACTGGAACAATGCACACATAACTTGTACATTAGTAGTGTGCATATTAATTGGGACAGTGATGAAATAAGACATTTACATATTTGGAAAATTAATGTTTTTCTGGAAAATATACAGTAGTGATATGACAGATAACTGATTTAATAAGAGATATGACTACCCTTTTCATGACAGATAACTTATTGAATAAAAGATATGACTACCCTTTGCTTTAACAGTGGAACCTCAAATATCGAACTTAATCCGTTCTAGGAGTTAGTTCTAAATTCGAAAAGTCTGAAAAGCAAAGCAATATTCCCATAAGAAATAATGGAAATAAAATTAATCCATTCCAGTAACCCAAAAATATTCACAAAAAAATACATTTTATAGAGATTAATTATAGTTTTAAATACACACAACAAATATAGTGTTCAATTATGTATTAATAAATTTAAATAAACATATAAAATAACATTTTACTTACCTTTATTGAAGATTGGTGATGACATCTGGAAGATAGGGAGGAGGAGGAGAGGGAGTTGGGGTTAGTGTTTGGAAGGAGAATCCCCCTCCATGAGGACTTTAGGTATCAAAGCCCTCTCTGGGGTTACTTCCTTTCTGTCTTTTAATGCCACTAGGACCAGCTTGAGAGTCACTGGACCCCTGTCTCACAAAATAACTGTCCACAGTCCTCTGTTTCTGGTGCCTCTTTAAGATTTCCCTAAAATGGGACATGGTTTTGTCACTGAATTTGTTACAAAGATGGCTTGTTTCATCTTGCTATGGTGTTTCTCACTTTCTTTACAACAGGCGTACCACTAGCAAGTTTCTTTGGGCCCATTGTAGCTTATTTCACAGTCCCACAAGCACTAAACACAATGAAGTAATCATAAAATGTTTGAATGAGAGCGCAGGTTAGTGTTCACTCAAGCATCAACAAAACCAGACTGGCTCACGGCGCCTGCGTGGGGGACGCAGACAGAGCAGGCTGCCGGACAAGTTCAGTACCCGGTGGTTCGAAAATGGGGCGAGTTCGATAATAGGGACAAAGTTGGTTTGAAAAAAGGGGTCTGTTTTCGAAGAGTGATACGTTCGAAATTTGAGTGCAACTAATGTGTCATTTTATTGTGGCAACGTTTCGCTCTCCAGGAGCTTTATCAAGCCGTTACAAACAATACATGGATACAGAGGGTATCTATAGGCTAAGAGTGAAGTGGAGTAATAGTGGTGGTAGTAGTAGTTGTAATATTAGCTGTAGTAGTAGTAATATAATATGGTAGATCAACTTCTACACGAGTAAAAGGTTATAAAAGCTATTACTCGGGTAGCATAAAAATAGGTTAGACAAATATTTCTATTGGTGGCTGGATTTGAGAAGGTCTGTTTCAGTGTTCCTTCTCTGTTATGTTCTTGTGTAGTATTAGCAGCAGAGACTACGTGATGGCAGGGTTTACTGTTTTGAGAAGGATTTTTGCTAATACTTCAGAGATGATGAAGCTTCCTTTATTTTGCTTGATTGTGTTAGAAACAGCGATTAATGATGAATCAAGGCATTTACGTCTTGGGAAATTAGGCTCTCTGATCACTAGTTGGGCATCATTGAATTTCATGAGGTGATTGGCAGAATTCCAGTGTTGTATGCAGGCGTTGTTCAAGTTTTCATTCTTACATGCGTTAATGTGTTCATTAAGATGTGTTTTGAGGTTCCTAACTGTTTCACCTACATATATCTTGTCACAGCCTCCATAACATATAGTGTAAACTCCTGCATTGACTGTTTCATGATGGTTCGATTTTGTCCTGGTTGGATCCCTTATGGAAGTGATGGATGCAATGGCGACTCTAGTGTTAGTTTGTGCGAGTACCTTGGAAACATTCAATGCAACCTGGCTGTTGGGAAGGATTATAACTTAGGAGTGGTGTTGGTGTGTGAAGAATTGATGATCCGAAGAGCTCTTTTCTTGCAGTCTTTGATGAAAAAAAGAAGGAAAATGTAGATCATTGAAGGTTTGGTATATGTATTCCTCGTCAAGAACCTCAGGACTACAAATTCGGTATACTCTTGGGAAAAATCCGATGATGATGCCTCTTTTGGTCTTAGTATCTTGACAGGAATAGAAGTGAGCGAGATCATATTTGTTGGTAGGTTTACAGTAAACTTGAAATCTTAGATTGTTTTCAAATTTGTGAATGAGGACGTCTAGAAAAGGTAGCTTGTCATTGGATTCTTCTTTTAGAGTAAACTGGATAGCTGGTTCAACTGCATTGAGCCTTGCCTGAAGATTCCACACTTCAAAACGTTTGAGAGTTATTGTGAGGATGTCGTCCACATGACATAACCAAGTGATGCTCGTGGGGATGATGTTGGTGAAGTGTTCAGCTTCCAGGTGCTCCATATGCAAGTTGGCTAAGACGTCGCTGATAGGGACCCCCATTCCCATACCATAGGTTTGTTTGTAGAGCCTGTTACTGAAGTTAATGCAGAGTTCAGTCAAATCGACAAAATCTCCGGGAGGTAGAGGAAGGTTAAGGTCCTGATTGACTTTACGTCGTAGAACGTAAATGGCTTGTGTGGTAGGTACTTTATTGAAGAGAGAAGTAACGTCCAAACTATACTTAGTTTCTTGTTTCGGATGGAGAGGTTTCTGATGCGCTTGAGAAGGTCGTCTGAATGTTTAAGATGAGCGGGGCTGATGGTCCCCAGAAGGCAGGAAAGATGTTTGGAAGAACGGCTAGTTTGTGTGGTGCACTGCCTATATCTGGTGTGATTGGTCTGAGAGAAATAATATGTTTATGGGTTTTGGGTAAACCATACATGTGTACTGGTTTAGGGTTGCTGGGTATCAAGTACAGAAGTTTTTTCCCTTCACTTGAACATTTGAGTATTTGTCTGCTTTAGTATAGGAAATCTTTGGTGAGTGTCTCGCACTGTTGTGTGCTGATGGGTTCGTATGTAGACTGATCATTCAAAAGGTCCATCATTTTGATGTTGTAGTCACTGGGCATTCTTACTGCAGCTTTATGTGAGCTTCTACTAATCTTTCTAGACAGTATATCACTTCCCTTAAGGACCTCGCCAATGACCCAGATATTATTGTCACCACCGACGACAAAGGAGGTGGAGTCCTCATACTCAACACCAGTGACTACAACACCAAAATGATGAACCTTTTGAATGATCAATCTACATACGAACCCATCAGCACACAACAGTGGGAGACACCAAAGATTTCCTATACAATACCAGACAAATACTCAAACGCTCAAGTGAAGGGAAGAAACTACTCAATACCCAGTAACCCTAAACCAGCACACATGTATGGTTTACCCAAGACCACACACCAACCAGCACACATGTATGGTTTACCCAAGACCCACTCTGCTGGATTAAAGGCTACCTATCCAATAGAAAGTCGTCTGTGTTGTTCCAGGGACGTAGAAGTGTAACTAAAGATTTTGAATTAGGAACCCCACAGGGAGGTGTACTCAGTCCCACCCTATTCAGTATTCTAATTAATGCCTTACTTAATGCTATGCCTAGCCAGCCCCATCATTATATGATTAATTTTGCTGATGATATAATGATTCACACCACCAGATTCTCCAACACCCAAAACATTCTTAATCATGTACTAGCCTCATGTCAGGACCTGGGGTTGATAATCTCGGGATAAAACAAAGATACTCAACAGGCGTCCTCCTCGACAGAGAGGCACAGTTCGTCAGATCCAGTTGCATGATGGGTCTCTTCTAGAATAAGTAAGCAGATATAGGTGTCTAGGCTTTGAGGTTCCACTGCTTGGACCTGTTGTAACGAGACTTTGTCGCCAATACAAAGAAAGGCTGAGAGCACTTAGAGTTGTGGCAGGTTTTCATCCCAGGTATGGAGCTAATGTTAAAATTGTGAAAATTATCTATCTTGCTTATATTAGATCATTGGTTGATTATGCTGCGCCACTACTTGCACTCGTGTCTGACTAGAAGCTTGAGGGGCTGGAAAAACTGCAAAACGAAGCAATGAGGATCATCCTAGGATGCCCTCGTACTGCCAAAATTTTAAATATGTGGAAAGAACTTAATATTCCAAGCATT